ATTCATATACCACTCGTCAAAAAACTTAAGCATGATTAGTTAATCAGGAAAGATTATATTCATATATAATAAATTACAGTTAAACAAATGTATTCAAGCTTTAAAATACTAGGTAATTCTGTTTCATTGGGGCACGAGATTTATTGCGTATCTTGCGGGGCAGCATTTGCTGCGTCAGATTCGATTCTTCTTTAAGTTAAACCACTCATTTTACTTAGTATTGTTTCAACTTATAAGTGGCTAACGGTTCCTTATCAGAGCTTTGCGATACTCACCTGAGTTTTTGGCAAGATTAAATTTTCGTCTGACTTCCGTCCTTTGATTTACAATGTTGTCATTTCACAAGGATATTTTCCTATTGAAATTTCTCACTATCTTCGAACCCTAACATGACAAGCACTTAAACTTGACATATACTATTTTTTGACAGTTCTAGCCAAGTGAGTCGTGACCACTGTTACAAATATCAATCAACTCCTTTCGTTTTGAAGTCACGAAATTTGGTTTGTTTACTACGTTTAGTAAGTCCAAATCATGTTCCATAACAAAGGGTACCTCATTTCGTTCATTGGTGTTTGTACTGTCACAAGTTAGATGGTACGCATTCGCATCACAGCCGATGATCAATTGCAATCCTTTTATACCAACTGCCTTGGTAGTGGTTGTTCGAGGTCATATTTCAATCCCTCTATGATCTTCATATTTGCTGTCGTTAAATCCCTGGAACAAAGATTCATCAACGGCAGGGTTTTTGTATGTCGTTTGACTATTATACAGGTTTTCGACACTTCGGCAGATATAAGCTCTCCACCAATGCCCGTTAGACCTCTTATTTTGCTCTTATAAATCCAGAGCTCTTGTATCAAAGTTTCATCCTGTGGATAGCAAAAGCAAGTGCTTCCGAAGATACCTTACTATGCTAGAGGGTCGCCGACAAGTCGGATTGGCGCAATAGAGGCATTTGATGGTTTTGAATGATACCTTTCCAAGTTTCCAAACGATGAAAATGTTGTCAATGTGAGTCCATAATACTAGTATATGGGAAATAAGTCAATACTCACAATCTTAATTAGTTTTTATTAATAAAGTTGGTAAATTTTGGACTACCGGTTTCAATGCTTACAATGTTTGCCCCATCATCAGGCCCCAGTACGTTAATTTTATTTGTATTAACAAATAAAAGCTAAAACAATATAAAACAAGCAATAAACAACTGAAACACCATAAATGACACTAAATAATAACAAATTGAGTAAGAGGGTAGCTATAACATTAATTGGAAGTGAAATTGACAAACCAAGTATTCTATTGGGACATTAGTGCTATTGGGCATCACCAATCTGATGGAATCTGCGACGAAACTAATACTACTTACATATCAGGTACAGGAAAGCCCTATAAACTAAGGTACTGCTGAGAATCACCTTCTCCCTTAAGGAATACATTCACTCGCACTTATGAGTTTTAAACAATATTATGTGTATGTTGTTATGTGTGTACTCATTCGTTTATTTCAAGACACAGACTATTAAAAATTACATCTCTGAATCTCATTCAAAAACTATCAACAGCGACCTTAATTAAGTTCGAAACGAAACGAGCTTTCAAATGAGTTATTACCTGACATGATGTTTAGTCATGTCAAGTCATTTAAATGGCTCGTCCGTCATTTTAATGATTATTTAACTGAAAGCTATAAAAACTGAACGAGTGCTTTAGTAGGTGTTCCAAAGACTATAATTTTAAGTTTTAATCTTTAGAAAATATGTTGACGGTGACAGAGTTTCCTTCCGTACAATACTCTTGATATTCTTTGTTTATGACTAATATGCTGATAATTCTGGCTATTTTTTTATAGCATAGTTGACAATGTTAGTGCTTTTGTGTATTGTGTTTATTTTGCTATCATTCATTATGCATTTTAATTTGATATAGCACTATTTTGGAAACAACATTTCTTGATCACAGGATAAAAGATACATTGTAAAGTACAAGAACTACTCGTTCGCTTTCCTAATGTATAGTTTTCACTCAAAATTGAGAACATGTACCGTATGTCTCAAAAGATAGATAGATAGATAGAAGAGGATATTTAACTAATTATATTTATTTTATGTTAAGAATAAAACTATAGTTTAATATTAATGAAAAACAAAGCAAATCCTGCGTAAAACTGTTCAAAAATTTGAAAATGATACTTTATTACTGTTGCATATAGTGTTTGCTTCGTGCACTGGGATCACTTGTGGAACGTAGTTGGCGTTGTTGTTGCCTTCAGATACTGATTTGAATGTGGCAGCTGTTAACTTCCTCATAGCAGCGGTCATGCTGCAGCAGTTTATGGGTCCCAGTGGTACTAGAATTTGGGAAATTAACTACTACTCACCCAAAAAGATGAACAAAGATAAAAAATAATTATTTTTACAAAAAAAATGTAGATTATCATCGGTTTGGTAGGTCCAAGGGATCATATCGCTTCAATATCTTCGCTTGTTGGTTTTTAAGAAGATTGTATGCCAGGGTATTAGGATGCATGCACAATCGTTTTGATATCGTTTAGAAATTCTTTTGCACTCTTCGGATACTGTTCATATCTACAAATCTCTATGTCATTCTTTCTTCAAGGCGGGTTTTAGGTTAAAATCTTTGTATTTTCATAACATTAGATGTGCTAGCTGATACCTAGAGCTGCGAACCATATTACCAAAAGTGTTTTATTATGACTTTGTATGCCAGCAGTTTGTTGTCGATCGATAGGTGTAGTTTTTCCCAACAGCCAGTAAAGTTTTCTGTATAAAATTCCTAGTTGTGTCTTTTAGTCCATATATCTTTGGTCCATGTTAACCGTTTGTCCAGATGAATGCCTAGATATTTTACGTCATTCTATTTTAGGATGGTTTGGAGGATGCCATCGAGGTTCACTTGTGGATATATACCTCTTCTTAGAGTAAATGTAATATGTACAGATTTTTACGGGTTTACTTTAATTCTCAGAGTTTAAATTATTCATTAATTCCGCTTAGATGTAGTTGCAGTATCTCTGATGCTATTGCTGAATTACTATGAGCTATTAGGAAAGCAGTATCATCTGCAAATGTTTGTAAGCATTAGGTTATTGCTTATTGGTAAATCAGGCGTACATATCAGGTGCAGGATCGGTCCGAGCACACTACCCTAAGGTACACCAGATAGAATATATCGGATATATAGGAAAGGATTTTGTATAGGCTTTACTATACCTTACTAGACTAGATATCTCCATTCTGTAAGGTATGATTTAAGCAGTTTTAAGTTTAAGGTGGGTTTGTCTTTAACTTGCACAGAAGTCTTGAGTGCCACACCTTGTTAAAAGCTTGGGACACATCTGAGCACATCTAAAATGGCTTAACAATATAAATATTACTAAAGAAAAAAATGTCATAGAAAATTGACCATTTACAATTTCCTATCTATCCTTGACATTGGAAAAGTGTCACGTATGTCTTGAGGTTTGGTTGGGCTTCTGCGACTAGTTTATAATTAGGCGTCTGCGCTTAGGTATTGTCAAAAAGAAAGAATATAATAAATTATCAACTACAAAAATATGAATATGTACTCTCTCCAGAAGAGATTTAAATGTAAATGAATTTTGAGACTGAAACATCAGCGTAAGTAAACAAACGATATTATAAAAACAAGTTCCCCTTTTTATTATTTTGAAGTAACACTGACATACGGAAGTCAAGAGTTGCCAACTGACAAATATTTTATATTAACTTGTGAGTAGGGCGTAAAAACAAGTTCCCCTTTTTATTATTTTGAAGTAACACTGACATACGGAAGTCAAGAGTTGCCAACTGACAAATATTTTATATTAACTTGTGAGTAGGGCGTAGACATCATATACATTTTATATATGTTTATGGTATAGAATAGGACTTTTCATCAGCTGCCATGTTTTTCGTACAGACAGGTTTGACAATGACGTATAATCTATATTATACGCCATAGGTTTATAAATTTATAAAGAAATATTTATTATTTAACAAAGAAATAACATTGCTTAAACATAAAAAATAAAGGCTTTATAAAATCTATAAAATAATATAAGTATCACTCTCACATATTCCATAACAACACCAGTTCGTTGTTCCTTTTTGTACAGGTATCATTATAATAATCAATTAAAAATTGATTTGCTAGTGGTGGCACTTTATTTTTTTCAATAACTAGACTTTCTTTGGTATTTTTTATATTAATTATCTATATTATTTATATTACTAACCTAACCTTAACCTGTTTGTTTACAAAGTAGATATCTGTTCGAAAAAATGGCAGACACTATTTTTTGATGAAAAGTCCTATAACTGGAGTAGAATACTGAAAATATACAAAGATTTAAGCGCCAACTATTTTTAGAAGAAAAATAATAAAACAAAACAGAAAGTTAACAAACGAATAAATCAAAATAAGTAGGAATACAATAATTATTTAAAGAAAAATAACAAACATGCGACTTGTATAACTTTACACGTTATAAAAACCACATGACAGAGGGATGACGGTAATTTCATATCCGCCATTTTATAAGTAACCGACCTAGCCGTCACCTAATATATAGCCGTCCCACCAAAGTGTTATCAATATAAAAATATTTACCACATTTTAGTGATGCAGTTACCGTTTCAATGTAGCTTTAACTGTTTGTAAATTCCATAATTGATATCTATAAATTGTATCAACAAGCTTTGATTTTCATTTTACATTTATAAAATATTTAATTAATAAGTGAAGTTGTTTCTTATGTGTCCACCTAAACTGTTCTTGTACTTTTTAAATTCATTCATTTTGCACATATGCACAATTTAGTTCCTTTTTTTATTCATTATATGACATGATCATTTATTACATATAAATGTTAGCCTTCCTTAACCCAAAATATAAAACTTATAATTGAATGAAAACTCATAATTTAGCGTAGTTGGTTATCGTATCGGTACTGTATATTTTTTATTTTCTAGGGCTACATAATAAATTTTTATGAAGAGGCCATTTATATGGAATAAATAGAACAATTACAATTGTAGCTCCGTGTACGTCCATAAAAATACAGATTAATTTATGAATATTAATGTATTAATGTTATTCTCTCTGTTTAAAATGTAAGTACCAAAGTTAAGAAATTAAATATCTGCTTTTAAATTATTAATCGTAAGTTTAATATATCTTTATTACGTCGATGATTTTAACGTATTTAAGTATTTCGTTTAATGTTAATATTATCTTTTCGATCCAAATATATCTATATAAATATATTGTATTTCAGTATTTTTATTTAATATTATTTATGATATTTAATAGTATTAGACGCTTTTTTACAAGATAGGAGTAATAAATAAAATTAAGTGTAGTTTTATTTCCTTTTGAACAGTGACCTATTATGTTTAAACCAAATATAGCTCTCCCGGTGGAACATTGATGTAACTGCAAAAGTGCAAATTTAACTAGCCGGTCACGGGAGGAATGAATCCTACTGCAACGCCCCTAACGGACATTTCCTAAAGCCCCGTACAAACCTGGATACAATCGGTGGAAACATTGTCGGCCGACTGTATCTTTTCCCTTTTAAGTCGGCCGATTACATGGACCGATGATTTAAACACAAATGTGTCCTGTCCACATCTAGTTGGAACTTTGTTGTTGAAAAAAAAATGGCATCAAATGATGATTTAATAGCAGCGGGTGTTTGTGCGGCATATTTAATAATTGTGAAAAATAAAAAAAATAAAAAAAGACGTTGGTGGCAAAAAAGCCTTTTACGAGATGGAGTGAATTATGGAAACGGTTTAATGAATGACCTTAAGTTAGAAGATGGAAGTGGTTTCCGAAATTTTATGAGGATGTCAAGTGCAGATTTTGAAAATCTACTGTTAATGGTTGGTCCTAAAATTTCAAAAACTAATACAAACTTTCGTGCTGCCATTCCACCATCAATAAGATTAGCCATAACATTACGATTTCTGTCAACAGGAGATTCATATTGCAGTTTGATGTATTTATTTAAAGTATCAAAGCAACTAATATCATCTATAATACCAGAAGTATGTGAAGCTCTTATAGAAACACTAGCAGGATTTGTAAAGGTAAGTAAATCTATACCAATTATGTATTTTTATTTTTTATTATGTTATGATACATAGACAAAGTAACTGGAAACTAATACTATGTGGATTCTGGTAGAAGTAAAAATTGACCTAATTCTGTCATTACATTAGATTTTTGCATTAGATTTTCTGAATCATCCACAATTGTGGATTGCGTGACATAAGTTTGGGACATCTGTGAGGGGCTAGATATAGAGTTTGGAGACGGTGAGAATGGATATGGAGATATATGAGGATTCGATACAGTCGATGCAGGAGTGCTGCTTCTTGAAGAATGTAAATAAGTTCTAGGATCTTGAGATGGCGAAAATAGATTGGGTGATGTTTGAGTATTCAATACAGTTGAGGCAGGAGTGTTGCTATTGGTATAATTAAATCTTTCAACATTTCCTGGCATATTTTGAGATACATTTTCATTATATATGCCCATCTCAAGATTAAATAGTATATTTTCAATTTGGTGTTTAGCTATATTTTGGGCTCTAATACTTTGACTGCAATTCCTCAACCTATTTGAAATATAATCGGCATAAACACTATAGGGATCCTTGCGTGAGATCTGATCTTTCACAGTGGTCATAAATTTGTAGGCTTCTTCTATTCTTTGGTCTTCCAGTGATTTAGCCTTTTTTCTTTGTTGGGTCAAACGTGTTGACGAAGGCGTTTGTGCATTTTCAGAATAAATGCGTTTCTGTATCTTAGGTTTGCTAGCTGGAGGACTTGGAGGAATGATTTCCTCATTTACTGATTCTACGTCGTCAACAATATTTTCACTTTCAATTGATTCTTTTTCCTAAAAATAAATAAAATTAAGTAGTGTCGTCGTACTGATTACAAATGCGTTTGATGATTTGTAGTAGGCAACATTAAAGAACTCTTGATTTTAAAACATAATATTAAGGATTTTATGTAGAATTGTGGGTTGTAGGGAGGGCTGAATTTAGACACTTTACGTTTCGTTGTTTAATTACAATTTTTTCAAGCCAAGAGTACAAAACACAATGATTAGAGACTTAAAACTAATTTGTGTTTTGTACTCTAAGGGCTTGAAAAAATTGTAAGTAAACAATGAAACGTTGCCAAGAAAAATAAAGTGTCTAAATTTAGCCCCCCCCCCCTACAACCTACGATTCTACATAAGTTACTACGGAAGGGGACGATTCGCACTATGAATATTAAGGATGTTTAATACAGTCTTTATATTTTTTTCAGATGCCCGAAACAGAAGCCGAATGGAAAAACATTGAAAAGGAATACAATGAAAGATGGAATTTTCCACACTGCCTTGGGGCTATGGATGGCAAACATATTGTTATAGATGCTCCAGCAAATAGTGGCAGCATTTACTACAATTATAAGGGAACATATAGCATTGTTCTTATGGCTATTGTGGATGCTAATTATAGTATAATTTATGCTGATGTAGGTTGTCAGGGAAGAATATCGGATGGTGGAGTTTTTCAAAACACGAGTTTTTTTAAAAAACTTGCAAGAGATCAATTAAATATACCATGTCCTTCGCCATTACTAGGAAGAAATAAGTTGATACCATATGTACTTGTAGCAGATGACGCATTTGCGTTAGCTGAAAATATAATGAAGCCGTTTCCAGGCCATCATCCGAAAGGATCACCTGAACGAATATTTAATTATCGACTATCGCGAGCCAGACGAATAGTCGAAAATGTGTTCGGAATTTTAGCTGCAGTCTTTAGAATACTTAGGCGATCTATACCTTTGGAACCACAAAAGGTGCAATCTATTGTTTTAACTTGTGTTCATCTGCATAACTACTTGCGACGAAATAAAGAATCCAGAAGCATATATTCTCCCCCTGGAACGTTCGACACAGAATACTTAGATACAGGTACTAGCATTGACGGTTCATGGAGAAATGAAATTGATAACGCGTCGAGTCCTTTCAGCCTTCAAAATCTTCCAAGGAAATCATCAAATTCAGAAAAGCAGATTAGAAAAGAATTTGCGCAATATTTTTGTACAGATTTAGGGAAAGTGTCATGGCAGGACAAATTTGCTTAACATAAAATGGTATAATAATATAATACATATAAGTATTATAATTTTATATTTAACAATTAATATAATAAAGCAATTATTATTTTTACTTACAATTATTGTACTTCGACTTCCTCTGGACTCATTATTTTCAATTAAGAACAGTAAATGCTCGTATCCAAACCAGGTACAAGGCGATGATGTACCTGCTCCACTCCTGTTACCGTCAAGAATTTTTTTATGTTCTCTGCGAAATTGTGTTTTTAGAGATTTAATTTTTTTTATTATTTCTTCTGTAGTTGTAGAAAACTCTTCTGATAACCGTGTTACTTCGTCCATTTTTTTATTGCGGTCTCTGTACTCTTTACACGAGACATTCCACAAGGATGGTACTTGTCTTAAACTTTCTATTAAATTTAAAGTCTTTTCAGTTGTCCACATGTTACACACACTTTTTGTTAATTTAAAGTAAACAGAAACACTACCTACTTAAAATTAAAAAAAACGAACCTCAAAAATTATTCCGTTTTCACAGAAAACAAATATATCTAAATTTGAAACCCGTACACACCTGCCGATGTTTTCCATTTAAAGCGGGAAACAACCAACTCGGCGATTCCTTTGATAAAATGCCGCCCGATGTTACCGGGAAGTCGCTGCAAAATCGGCCGACTGGAGAGAAACAACAAAAATACAGTCGGCCGACAATGTTTCCACCGATTGTATCCAGGTATGTACGGGGCTTAAGTAGCGTTCTTAATTTGTTCATGTCACATGTCACCTTTACTTTGATAGGAGGGTTGAAAAAACCTGGAAAAAACTGATGGATATAAAATAAGTTGGATAAAAAATGAAATAAAAATATTCATTTTCAATTTTATTGTGTAGTAGTGTCGTTAGTTATTAATGTTGGATTTTCGATTTATGTAAAGTAATATTCCTATCAGTTGAATTTTAAAATATCAGTTACGAAATTTAAATGATTATGCTCAAATATGATAGCAAATTAAAGTGACAGGAACATATCAGAAAGAAAAATCAAGATCTTAAACTGAAATACAAGAACTTATATTAGTTATTAGGTAGAAGCTCACAACTTACAATCAAAAACAAGGTAATAGTTTACAAACAAATGCTCTAACCAGTGTGGTCCTATGGTTTACATTTATGGAGCTGTACTAGTGAGAGTAACTATGCTTTCCTTCAAAGAGTCCAAAACCAAATATTAAGAAACATAGTAAATGGTATAAACCATGGTATATCCGCAACAAAGACCTACATCGGGAACTTCGTATAACAACAATTAAAGAAGAAATAAAGAAGATTGTCAAAGGTCACGAAAACTGACTCTACAACCGTACAAACAGGGAAGTGTTAGAACTTTTAGATAATCAAGACTTGGTCCTCAGGCTCAAATCCATCATCCATCAAACCTTTTGAACTTGTGTGATAGTGATCAATCTATAAATATCACTGACAGTTTAAATTTGGGCAGTGAACTTAGCCATGATACTATGACTAACAAGATAGGATCTTCCCGTAGCGCAAAATCGGTCGTGTTCGCGTATGCATTCATTGAATTCTTGTTAAAGTTAAATGGGATTTGTATGCATTCTGTGATGAAATTACTAGACGAAAATAAGTTAAGAGGTTAATAATTACAATAATCGTACACATAAGGATATCTCCAAAGTATTTATTAAAGATTATTTATTGATACATACAAAAAATTGACATTTCGAACGTGTAACTCTCCAATGACGTCACTACTTATGCGCAATATCTTAGTCATAGTATCATGGGTAGTGATTAATAAAATTTAGTATTTTTTTTATTATTTATTATATTAACAATGCACCTAATCCTAAGACTAACCAGCATTTTATGTTTAACTTAATCTACTACTGTAGTGTCCTAGGTATTCCCAACGGTTCACCTTAGAATCTAATAATTATTGTTGCACACTTCACTGTTGTGGCTAGGTTCATGGACGTTAATAAATAGTTTGGAGATGTCCTTATGTGTACGATTATTGTAATTATTAAACCTTTTAACTTATTTTCGCCTAGTAATTTCATCACAGAATGCAAACAAATCCCATTTAACTTTAACAAGAATTCAAATTCTACTCTCCAATGAC